TATTATTACAAAACAACAATTAAAATTTTTTATAATTTTTATATGTAATTATATTAATTTAAAAAAATATTTCCTTTTTTTGCAGAAGACAAAAATTTCAAAACATACGTTATTAAAAGTTTAGTAGATATTACTAATCGAGTAAAGAGATGCGAGTTTTTATTGAAAAAGAAACAATACAATTCTGAGCAAAATCTGGAAAATCAGGTTTATGATAGTGAAAACATTTTAGATGAAAAGTTTTCAGTGAAAAGTCTTGATGAGATAAAAGATATTGAGCAACAACTAAAACATGACGAAATATTTAAAAAACAAATTGTAAGTATAAATTAAAATATCGAATAATTGTATGTTTTTATATCTCTGTTTAGAAGTTTAGATATTTTTTAAGTTTCAAACTTAACATTTTTAGTTATTATTTGTTCTTTCTTTGTAATCTAATTAGTATATTACAAAAATTTATTATTAATATTAATTTTTTTACAGATATCGGCACTTTATTCGTGTTCACAAAGTACTATGAAGAAAACTGTAACTAGGATTATGAAAATATTATTTACAGACGATGTAGCTGCACAATTTAGTTGGACTGGGCAAAAAGAAAATAAAAAAAAATTTGAAGTGTTATATTTATGGAAAATTATATTTGGTATGTTGAATAGAATTAAAATTTAATTAAATCTGATATCTTTTATTCAAAATTCGTTAATTCTTGTAAAAATAGAGTGGCTAATATATTACAATACATTGTAATATTTATACATATAACATATTTACATTAACAACATTTAAATTTATATTTGATACGTTTTATGAATATTTTAGGTGTTGTAAGAACTAAATTTAAGGATATATGAGTGAAGGAGATGTAAGTGCACCTATCAAAATTTGGTTAGCTCACGCGCCGGACCGAATAAAAAGAAGACAAAAATGATTATATTCTTAAAATGGAATTTAATTTACAAATTAAGATTAGAAAAAAGAGTTATTTTTGTTTTATTTTATGCATTTGTTTCTTGAAGTAGTTTTTAAACTCTTTAAGTTTATGAGATAATTTAATTGTTTAAACTAAAGATAGCAAATGCCGTATCAAGAGGTATTATTTTTCTTTTATATTTTTAAAAAGGTTTTGAACTGTTTCTTTTATAAAACGATTAGAATTGTTAAATTAAAAAATGTTTATAAAAAGTAAACAGAAAGATTTTATTTGATAAAATTAAAATTTATAAGAATGTATCCATTACACTGAAAAATAAACTATTTATAATAGAATATATTTATAACTTCCCAATAATTTTTTCCCAACAAATTCCCAAAAATATTTATAATAACTATTCCCAATTTAATTATGTGTATTAAATATTGTTGTAATATTTAATATTAAATAATATTTTTAAATATTGGCAGAATATAATTATAATATTAGAGTGGCAAGCGCGTGAG